GAAAGCAAAGAAGCCCAAAGGAAAGAAAAAGAAACCCAAGACAGAGGCGGCTGACACTGAAGCGGTTGGCCCAGAGGGAGAACAGAAGCCCAAGAAGAAGAGTGACGTCGTCAGTGGAGTCGAGACTGAAAAGTTCGCCACGTCCGACGACCTGTTGGAGTCTTAGGTCGTCGTGTTACCTCCTGTCCGAGAGAGACACAGCAACTAGTCGCACGTGTTCGGGTACAATGAACCGTAGTGTCTGGCGGATTGAGGTAAATACTTCTTGAGGTAAATACTTCTTGAGGTGAATGCTTCTTTGACCTTTTTGGACTCACAGAATTTGCCGGGTGCAAGCAGCCCGCCCGTCAATCTGCGAATGCAGCTCGTCGTGGACCTTCTCGGCGGTTGAACTCATCGTTATCTGGTTCTAATTGGAAAAATCTGTAGTGTGGTTATTGAGCGGTTATGTCTTTGACATGCCAGCTGTCTGGCCTTCAATTTTTGTGCGGAAGCCGAACTTTCGCCTCCGGAAGCAAACTTTCACTGCAAAGAGATGATCACCGTGGTTGGTGATCACACACAGCGAACTGTCACACGCAGGGAAGTTTTTTTTTTCCTCCGGGAGTGAAGGTTTAACTTGGGCAGATGAAAGCAAATTGTTCGACCAACTCCGGTGGCGCCGGGTTAGTGGGAACTTTGGTGGCCATGATTGTGGATGCCCAAGGCAACTTTGCGGACACAAGTGACTGCACGTTTTTGAAGGCAACTGTGCGTATGCAGATTATCCCGAAGAAGTTGGATGTGTGTTCCACGTCCGCCTATACCAAATCCCAAGCCATGAAGAGCAAAGACTTCAAGGTGGTGATATCGGTGCCGAAAGGTATGTCGGAGTTTCGTATACCACATGGAATAAATAGTTTACAACTGTCGGGCAAGTCACGAACAAATCGCCAAAGGTCTGCTGCATCGTTGTATCAATTTGTTCGAGTTTTAGCTCACAAGGTCTTAAGGATACACACACCATGGGAACATTTCGGGGGTCATGAGGCTATGCGGAAACTAAGGAGCGAAATC